CGAAGAATTTCAATATCGAGAGTGCGACGAACTTGATCGACCTCCTCAGGAGTCATAGCCGCACACGAGGATCTTCAACATAGAAGTTCTCCGCAGTTCGACGAGCTGAGTGTCCTGCCAGTTGATAGGGATAAGGCTTGCTCCCAACTGGTCCTCATACTGTCCATAGTAGCCGCTGTACATGCCAGGATAGGCTCCACCATAGGCACCAGGGTAGCTGCCGAAGGAGCCGTTCTGACCAGCATAAGTATGGTCATACTGAGGGCTAAAAAACGAAGAGAATAATAAGTGCCATCAGACGGATTCAAACTTACCCGTTATTATAAACTGGAGCGTATCCACCATAGCTGGCGGCATTATGACCAACTCGGCCGTAGTTACTCACAGCCTGAGCAGCATAGGCAGAGTATTCGGGAGCAGTGGCGGCGAACTGGGAGAGAGGATCCGCAGACGAGCTCGGCGGTGTGGAGGGTTCAGTGTGGACCGAGGGAGCACACGTAGTGGCTTCCTCGCTGGGACTGCTATTGCCAGCAGTAGCCTTGGTACTCATCATCGGCTGAGCCTGCTGCTGCTGTTGCTGTTGCTGATGATAGAGGTAGGCTTGCTGGTACTGAGGTGAGGGATTACCCTGAGCGTTCTGAGCTGATGAGGCCGCGTCAAACATTATACACAGGAGTAAACCTACACAAAGCTTGCGAAATCAGATCAACACAAAGAAGAGAAATGAAGCATGAAACTAATTCGATAAGGCATGTGTCAGCACTAGCGACTGCTCTTGCTGGGGACCTTCGTAAAAAACGAAGATATTTTCTTACAGCCTTTGGCCGCTTGCTCCAGCCGAGCCCGCTTAGCATCAACCTTGTTGGTCTGTCGACATCGATGGTCCTCATCAAGCCCCATCTCGAACACTGCTCACTTCACTCTGCCGATTCCGTTTCTGGTTCATTGTTGCCGCTACCTCAGCAGAAGAAGGAGGAGGGTTCGACCTTTTCACAGGTGACGCTATCAGGGCTTGTGATACATCTAACAGATACCTTCAAAGAGTCGTGAAAGTCCTAATGTCACTTACCGACGCCCAGTCGTTGGCCAACCTTAGCAACGAGGTCAGCGTTGCCCATCGCGAAATGATAGCACAACTAGCAATATGCCGGTACCATTGACACATGCCTTAACTCCTACCTCACAAACAAATCGCGTTAGCCTCTCTTTCTTCAGCTCCTCTGTGGCGCACTCACCAACCTCAGTGAAATACAGGTCAGACGACATGGCCTGTGGAAACAGCAGTACCGACGACCAACCCAAGGCCTCACGTATTCAGTCGTCTTCCGAACAACAACAGCAAGCCAAGACACCAACCGGTCCATGCTAAACCGATACACCTTGTCCTGCAGAAGGACCAGATGATAGTGGCGGCAATAGGCTCAGCAGCTACCTCTGCTGAGACCGTCTTCACCTCACACACGCAAGCGAGT